TATATATATATGTACAAATATATATATATGTATATATATATATATACATATGTATATTTATATCTATATATATATATTTCTCATATCATCAATCAATACGTGTCTGTTGCTTTAGACTGAGATGCGCTACCTCCGTATTTACTTGTCGAGTGATTATGGCATCTCAGTGCGCTGTCCAACCGGTGCCTGACCTATTGCATAGTCGAGGCGTATCACTCAATTGCAGTGTTGTGTGCTGCTAAGAAGCTTAAGATGTGTGATCTGCATTCATTGTATAGTATGTCCTAGAAAACCACACGTGTGTGATCGTATGTCTGAATCGTATGCTTTCCTCTAGTAACTTGTGTGTCTATATGCCTTTCAGTTAGCTAGTGCGCCCGTTGTTTCCATTTTCTTGACACCGCAGTGGTATTATTGTCAAATTCAAAAGAGTTGTGCCGTGGGTGGAAGTGCCTGAACAGCGACGGTACTCTACAAGACACATGGTGTGGGGATACTTGCCAAACACCTCATTGTGTGCATATAGTATATGGTCCGCTTTTACATACATCCGGACACACAATTTTTAATGACGATGCAAAGGTGTACGAATTGATCCTGAGTTGTTTGTGTACCCATCGCAGGTATTGTTTTGATGAAGGGAGGTGAACAAGAATTCCGCTTCGATACGGACCACGAGAAGATCTTCCGACAGGAGAGCAGTTTCTCGTACCTCACCGGTGTCGAGGAGCCTGGGTGCTTCCTGACAATCGAACTGGAGACTGGCAAATCCGTATGTAGTTGGAATGTGTCTTGCTTATCTGTGTATAGTACCATACTTGTACCTACTATAGCATATATACTGGGTATGTCTTTTAAGGGTACAGCGCCTGGAGCCGGTATCATGAAATATCATGTGCGTGTGCGTATATGCCAAATTTTCAATCGCACACTTACACATTTGCACTATGCACTTCACTTCTCACAGGTGCTGTTTGTGCCTGATCTGCCGATGGAGTACGCTGTTTGGATGGGTGTTGTATACCCCAAGTCGTACTACGAGGAGAAGTATGGAGTGGAGGAGGTCTTGTTCGTGGATGACATTCCTGGTACGTATGTGGTCTTTTATAGGGCCAATGCATTACACCCCAGCATAGTTGTGCTATGAAGTTTGAGGAAGCACTATTTGAAGAGAGAATGAGTGCATGCCATACATTATATATTTGTAGCATTATTTAAGCTTGTATGAGGGCGTCCACTCATAGCCAGCCACGACTTATTCGTCAGTCCTCACATACATATTGTACACGAACGGCTTAAGTACGGTCTCGTATATCTCATCATTCAACTCACCATTCAACCTTATCTCCTATACAGCATACTTTAAGGAGTTGACCATCAACCTCACCTTTATGAATCTCGTGTAACTCATCATTCATCTCATTATTCAACCTTACCTTCTTACTATAAACAGCATACTTCAAGGAGAAGAATCCCAACCCCATCTTCATCAACCGGGGTGTGAACACAGATAGCGGCCACACCACCATGGAGGCGACGTTTGATGGCATTGACCAGTACAAGGTAGACTATGAACGCTTGTTCGGTGACATTGGAGAATGCCGCGTCATTAAAACTCCCCAAGAGCTTGAGGTAAGCCAACGACTCGGACCTTGCGTATGGTTTATGTCCCAAGTATCAGAGTATTGTGTGCCAGAGGTGAGGTGTTAAGAGTTCTTGTTTTGAGTTATTGATTAGTTCTATGAACTCGTTACCTTTAAGCTTCAATCGCGCTGTGTGTTGGCGAAAGCAGTATATGAAGCATACTATGTTTCTGATTTATATATATATATATATGTATGTATGTATCTATGTATCTATATGCACCTATATGTGCATACTGGTTTAAATATGCAACTGAATCAAGTTCTTCTCGTACCCTCCACGCATACCTCTCACTCGCAGGTAATGCGGTACGTTGCCAAGATCTCCAGTGAGGCCCACAAGCAGGTAATGCGTAAGATGCAACCGGGCATGATGGAGTACCAACTGGAGTCTCTGTTCCTGCACGAATGCTACGCTCGTGGGTATGTTTTTTTGCTTACGAAACCCTATTATAAGCACTGTATACGCGTATAAATAGTCACCCCTATTACAAATACGTTAACGCGTATAAATGATATGTAGACCTCAAAAGTACACGCTTTCGTCAGTATAGCGGACTCGTGTGGGTATCACTGGTGTGCAGGTTGCCAGCTAAGTGATGAATTAACGTACATACCCATCATATGTAATCATCATTGCAGCATTTGGGCACTGGGGTATTCCTGATCAATACACCCCTGGTACAGCGCATGCCGTTTACTTTTTTGCATTGTCAGACTCTAGGTTATATCACATGCGCATATAGGCCACATATATCCCCTTTCATCAGTCATAATGTCTCACTAACCTTCTCATTAACAATCTCTTCAGCGGTGCTCGATGTGTCGCGTACACGTGCATTTGCGGTGCCGGACACTCCGGCGCCACTCTCCACTACGGCCGAAACAATAAGCGCGTGGTATATCAACTCTTCAGTATCTTGTGCTAAGTGTGTTTAGTAACAAATTCGTAAGTCGAACTCTTTAGTAGCTAGTGTCATGTGTCTTAAGTGACTAATTGGTAAGTCAGTTCTTGAATAACTAGTGACTAGTTCCGCATACACTCCGGTTCATATGATGTGAAGTGTCGTAAGTATCAAGCCTCACCTACATGTTAGTGTGTGTGTACGTGTCTTAGCATTTATTTCGGGTTTCGAGTGCGAGTATGAACCACATGTGCATCTATGTACTATGTGTTTGTTGTGTATGGAGATACCGTCTGGAGACTTTGGCATTTCCAAATGTATATTTGAGAGGTACACTGTATATTGTCTCACACACTTATCAGGAGGAGGATGCGATGTTTCTCATGTGATATGAGCTTTTGCTGCTCCAGATATATATCTTCAATGTGCATTGTATGGTTTCTAATACTTATGAAATATATCTTAATATGCATTGTATGGTTTTTCACACGTGTCAGGAGGACGATGAGATGTGTCTATTCGATATGGGGTGCGAGTACCAATGCTACACCTCAGATATCACTTGCTCATATCCTTCGAACGGAAAGTTTTCGGACAAGATGAAGGTCATCTACAATGCCGTGCTGGCATGTGTCAAAGGTAGGTGATTAACTAAAGTCCATTTTGAGTCTTTTCTATACAAAGAAACCTTTCTACTGTGCTATTCTGTACTCTTCCTTCAACAATCATCTAAAGCCTGATTTACACTCAGATGATGTGCATTGTTACAAGCGTTTGAGGTTACCTCCTCCTCATTGCATTTCTCTTATGACCATATTCTCGTCTGCTTAGCTGTAAGCAAGGAAGTCAAGCCTGGTGCCTACTGGCCTGATCTACACCGTCTGTCCGAGCGCACCATGTGTGAGGAGCTTAAGAAGGCTGGGCTTCTCCAGGGCGATGTGGATAATATGATGAAGCACTTCATCGGCAGCTCGTTGCAGCCACACGGTTTAGGTCACTTGTAAGTGATTGAGTGTCACTGTCGTATTCGTACACGGATTTGACTGAATAGGTAGTCGATTCAGACTGCTCGCTGTGTTTATTAGTATATATATATATATATATATATATATATATATGGACTCGTGATGTCTGCCATGCGCTCATTATCTGGTCAACCCTTCCGCATTCATCATCTGTGTCACCTGTGATTGATTTTCCGATTGTGACAGTGTCATTTTGATCAACAATGGGGGTATCCATGACAATCAGGCCGGGGCCTCCCTTCACAATATCTGTCTCATTTTTTGACGACTTCGGCACCTGTAATGACACGAGGCAACAACAACAACAACCAACAGTGGTTGAATCACCAACAAAGGTGAATTAGTTCTGGCATACTTACCAACCTACACATGCACACACACACTATATTCATATTTGTAGAATGGGACTTGATGTGCACGATATTGGCGGCTACCCTGGAGGTGCCAAGCGCTCTGCGGAACCTGGACTGCGCAATCTGAGATGCGGACGACATTTGGAAGAAGGTGTGTTATATTCAGCGCAACCGAATATGTTTCATCGAAACTCCCTTCCACTACAACATATACCCTAAACCCTACACTTTTACTGTATACGTTGCTACGCTTGGAAGTATACAAGGACTAAGCTGTATCGGAATGGGGCAATGGAGACCTATTGTATATTGACATTCTGTCAATTGAGAAGAGACGAATGCATGCGGGAGATTGTTGAGTGCGGACGGAGTCTGTGTCCGCATCTGTTGGTGATGACATCCAGAGCACTGGTCTGATCTCTCTAATTTTCTCTGCCCCTTCCCTTGACAGGTATGGTACTGACTATTGAGCCCGGATGCTACTTCGTAGATGCAGTACTAGACCCTCTGTTGGCCAACCCAGAGACGGCTCGCTTTTTCAATCAGGAGATGCTGGCGACTTACCGCGGTTTCGGTGGTGTGCGTATCGAGGTATATTATTATGATTCAACGGAAGAATATATATGTATGTATATGTATATATATATATGTATATATATATATATATATATATATATTCACTAGTATTGTATTTACTATTAGGTACTTAGTAATTTTCTTCTATGTTGTCGTATCACG